TTTTTTTTCCATATTTCCAATCAGTATTTCCCTTGTTGCGGCTTATGACTGTTGCCTTTTGTTCTTTCGCTGTGCATCTCTGAGAAAGGTCTGCGTCTATCTTCCCCAATGGATTAAGGTAGTGGATGACTGTAATTATATTCCCTCTTGGCCTTGTCGTCTCCAGGCTAAACAAACCAGTTGCCCCAGGCTCTCATTGTGCATTAAGTGCTCTGGTCCTGTTACTGCCTTAGCAGCCCTTCTCTGGAGTCTCTCCAGGTTGTCAGTAGCTGTTTTTCTGTGGGCCCCAAGCTCCAGCTGCAGGGATGTTTGCTCAGCCCTCAGCCTGGCCTGCTGCATGGCTTACTTCTTACCCCAATGCATGACTTTGCATTTGCCTTTGTTGAACTTCGTGAGGTTCCTGCTAGCTTGCTCCTCCAGTTTGTTGAGGTCCTTCTGAACGGAAACCCTGCTCTCCAGTGCATCCACCACTCCTCCAGTTTGGGTGTCACTTGATGAGGTTGTGTATCAACCACTCCTCCAGTCTGGGTGTCGCTCGATGAGGTTGTGTTGTGTCTCAGCATCCAGGGCCATATGGCACAGCAGCAGGATAACATATTGACTTAGTCAGCAAGTGATAATTTTCAGCTTATCTGGCAGGAATAGAATTCTTTATAATTGTTGACCAGAATTCATGGAATATTTTTGGCCACTAGACTACCCTGAATATACAATATACTTTGCAGTACATGTTATGCTAATTAGAAGTATATATAGTAATTGTATTTTGATTATACATCTCTAAATGTGTTTTTATCTAGTAAACGTATTTCTGATGGACAGCTTTGCATGCAGAAGAAATACAAACCACATAATCAGTAACATATAATTGCATATATATATACAAATAGGAAGTGGTTCAAATTATCTGAGTAGAAGAATTATAACAGCGCGCTGCTCAATGCCCCTGCCTGTTCCAACCACCCTGATCTCTGCTGCTGCGCTGCGTGTCTTCTGAAGCCACTATGAAGCTCTTGCTTGCTTTGCTATTGTGCCTTTTATTTGAGATGCCACCACTACATGTTGTGCTGGCCAAGCTGCAGGAAGGATGTGATATTTTGGAGAAGTTATAGGGTTTCTAATTGCTGGAAATGCAAAGCAGGAAGCTCCTCTTTTAATGCACGAGCCCACCCTGCTGCAATCATTTTTCTTTATTGACATCCCTCGCTTTGCCAGCACAGGGAAGCAGACACTCTCCGTTAGGAAGCAGTGCGGTGTACAGTCTGATGCGACAGAGTGCTTAGCTTTCTGCTAATGCAATGTTTGCGGTATCCCACAGTGTCTTTGCTCACGTACTGCAAGAAAAAATGGTGGCTGTCTCTTCCAACTTTTTTCTTTGACAAAAAACAGGCCACACACTTTCGTAACATCCAGTCCAACCTCTTCCTGGTGTTTAGGTTTACCAATGATAAAATAACAATGGTCATATTCCACTTATTACTAGCTCTTCTTAGGACAGCTCAGCCTAGGTCATCACAGAACTGCTTCCACCACCCTTCTCTCTGCATAGGAAAGAAGAAGCCACCTTGCCTCAATGAATTAGGCAGTGAAGAGGGCAGAGAGGGCTCTCCGCGGGAGACCTCCATCTCTTTATACTTCACAAGGAGGTTTCCCTAGTGCGGGGCCTTCCATTGCGTTGCCAGTTGACGAAGGGGTACACTGCAGTTCAAGAGGGAACATGGCTACAGAGTGCAGACCTAAGCTACACTGCTCTGAAGTAGCTGGCAGAGCTATTGAGTTTAGGGTTACATTTCAGATTTGTTGTTGAGAAATGTCTCAACCTGTGAAACTGTACCTACCCTGTCTAGGAATTTGAAGCCACAATTTCCCAAAGATCATGGATCTGTCTGCATCAGTTCCAATAAGCCTCTTTCTTAGGAGAGGAAAGACTTTGTGACTTTGTCACAATCATCATAGGTGAAGGTAAAATACAGTTTCTTTTCTAAGCCCTTATTTTCAACACCTGTCTTAAAATCTGCGAAATGAAGGGTTGAGATTTAAACTAATTGGCCTCTGCCTAAAGATGAAAATAAGCTTTTAAAAACAGTTTGTATTTTGATTGAGAAGACTAAAAAAGTTTCATTTTAAAAATATTTTTTTTTCTTCTGACCTTTTAGTTTAAACAGCCCTGCAGCCAAAGGGGGTGAGATTTGAAAGTCGGTTGGTTTTGATTTGAATTATAAGCATCTGCATATCACACACTGAGTAGGTACAGTATGGTTTTAGTTAAGTTCCTTAAAACATGCAAGAATGGAAGGACACTGTATTAACTGAGTGCTATGAACTTCTTAAGTCCTCAGAATGGCTTGCCAGGTCATGAGTTCCAGATACTCCAGGAGAATGACAATCTGCTGAACAGATACTCAGTTTCACCAGCATGTTCACATTTCCACTACAATGAGAATTGCACTTTCCAAACCAGACACTGCAAGTTGCATTATCAAGACATTGCTCATCACATAAGCAGGCGGAGGGAGGATTCCTAATACTTCCAAAATCTGCTCACATTTAGACCCAGAGTTTTCAGTAGAGCACAGCTTGCTGGACTTAACAGTTTGTTGTATAAGTGGGCCCCTGTAAAGCTTTTTAATGTAGCTGTTTAAAGGAAGATTAGAATAGGGCAAGATACTGCAAAGGTTACAATTGGAACTCACAGTGTTGAGCTCATCTTTCAGCTGAATTGCCTAAGGTTGGGTATGAAGTCAGCAGATAAGCTGTCAACAGCCCTGAATTCACTTTCCGTTCAAATCTGGTTCTTGTACAGAGCATTCGGAGAAACATCTGATGTGCCAAACAACACGTCTTTAAATTGAAGCTTAAGTCTAAGTGTAAAGGCACTTATACTCCCCAGGGAAAAAAATCCCACATGTATTTACCAAGGAAGTTTTCAGTCCCCTGGATAATCTGTATCTAGGAGCACCATAAAGGTGCTCAGCGCTAGGTTTTACACTTCCAGTCTCAAGGCAGAAGTCATTTCCAATAAACACAGCCTCTAGGCTCAGAACTTGAGTTAGAGGAAGGGGGAAAACAGTTTCTGATGTAGTATCAAACCTCCTAATGGTGTTGTTAAAAAACAGTTTTTCACTGTTCCTTTTATTTGCCAACAAATAGGTGACTGGCAGATGCTGTGTATCTTACTGCAGTGTGGATGCTTACTGGGCAATGACAAGTGCCTCAGCTTAACATTCTCTCCCTCCTGGTATTTCTTACAGATAACTCAACTTTTATGTTTAATGAGTCTTTGCCTGCAAACAGGGAACTTTCTACTTCCGTGAGACTCAGTGGGAACGCTCAGGCCTGTCTCTATTAAGTATGATGACATTTGCTGACTTCATCATGTCGAGTGACATATGAAAATTGGCAATTAATAGTACCTGGCTTCAGGGGGAGAAACAATAGCATATCACTTGTCTGTAGGCAGCAGAGGCTTCAGATGTAATTCTCTGAAAATAAAGCAATTGTCCCAATTTAAGCTCATTTCATTTCTTTCCAAAGACGTGAAATACAGTCACTCCGGTGATAGCATCAAGTCATCCCTCTGTATTATTCTATTTGTTCCATCACAGCCTCTTCTCTCCAGGGAGCTCATTTGTATTCTCTTGCTTTCAGGTCATCTGACTCTTGGTTTGTGTCATGGATTTAGCTTTTCCTTAGCTTTAGTATAAATTAAGATGTTACTGTCGCCACCAGACTGAGCCCGGAAACCACAACTCGGACTATTTAGCAACCTATTTTAAATTCAAGAAAAAAGCCGTGTACCTAAATATATCACGGCTAATGGCCATTTGTCTTCAGATCTAGATCTCAGCATTCAGGATAATGCTTACTATCACTATTGCTGCATGCCATTGCTTTTGAATATTTACTGATACTGTATTTAGAAATGAATTTTTTCCCCTTTTGAGGAAGCATTGCACCATCCAGAAGGGCAATTTGGGCTCGAGTTGGGTCGGTCACTTGCATCAGCACTAAGATGTTCTGCTGTGCATATTTTGACAGTTTCACAAAGAATCACACAGAATGGTGGGGGCTGGAAGGGACCTCTGGGGATCATCTGGTCCAACCCACCTGCCAAAGCAGGGTCACCTACAGCAGGCTGCACAATACCTCATCCAGGCGGAGTTTGAGTATCTCCAGAGAAGGAGACTCCACAACCTCCCTGGGCAGCCTGTGCCAGGGCTACGTCACCCTCAGAGT